TACCAAAGACTGGGTTTCCTCCTTTCTGATGCTTTGCCTGTGATCTGGAACCCATGGACATTACCAATGACTGGGTTTCCTCCTTTCTGATGCTTTGCCTGTGATCTGGAACCCATGGACATTACCAATGACTGGGTTTCCTCCTTTCTGATGCCTTTGCAGGCTCTAACTGCAGCTGTCTTCAGTTGTTCTTTGTTTGTGGGTCTTTCTGCCTTTAGTTGTGCATTCAGCAAGTGAAACGCATGCTCAACAGGGTTGAGATCAGGTGATTGACTCGATCATTGCAGAATATTCCACTTCTTTTCCTATATGTTTCGCTGCAAAAAACAGAATCGTTCAGAGTTTAATGAATTAAAATAGGTCACATAGTGGCTGTAAGTTGTGCTCAGCTTCACATGATGGCAAAATGGCACCTGTCGTTTGTTTCACCTCTATATAGAGAGGTTGGCCATCAAAATGGCCTCCGCACATGCTCAGTACCTCAACAGATGCCATCTTGTGGACAAAAAAATAACACCACAGCAGCACATCAATCCACAACACAATACACACTGTGGTGCTCTCAAACAATCTTAATGCTCCACTAATTAAGGACCAAAATTAGAGTTCATACAATTATATAGCATTTATGGGACAAAATCAAACAAAAAGCACAGAATCCCTATTCACACACAAAAGGAAGGAAGGAAATGTCAGGGCAGGAGCTGTGGATCGGACAGGCAGGCCTAGAGGCAGGGTCACGCACTGACTGACGACAACCACCACCCACAGACCGGAGTCCCTCAGGGCGCGGAGTCTAAGTCCCAGGCTGCCCTTCACCAGGGGCCCTGATGGTGGGGATGGACTTGACGCAGCCAGGGACCAGGTCGCGGCCCCCGAGACACCCCAGCTGCGGTAATGGTCGCCGCAAATGGCGTATAGCTGGTAGGAACCAGATAAGACAATAGCGTAGTCAGGCAGGCCGGGTCGATAACAACGGGACAGACAGTACAGAACGGTAGACAAGAATAACAGGTCACAAGCCGGGTTCAGCAACGGGAGGTCAGATAAAGAGATAACGCAGAGAATAGTCTAGTCAAAAGCCGAATCAGTTTCCAGGAGAGCCACGAGAGTAGAAATAGAGCTTGTTGCAACACAAACATACAAGACACGAATCCAAAGAGCACGTGCGGACAACAGGCTTATATGTGATTAACCACACCCCTCTGGGGGATGGACCGTAGAGGCCTGAGGGCATAAAAGACTCCCACCATGCTCTGCAGAAACCCAAGATGGATACCAGCACATGGAGCAGCATAACCTCTGGGAAAAGGTAGGACCTTGACAGGTAAAGCCTTCAATTAAACCATAAGGTGCCCTTGAGCTTAAACAGAAAATCCATTTTGCTTCAAGTTTTAAGACATTCATCTAGGTCTCCTTTTCTAGGACCCAGATTATATTTGTTAATATTTCAAAGGTTTAGGAGGTCAGCCTTACCATCATGTTCTTGTATCATATGTCTTGCTACTGGTCTATCCTTATTTTGAGCAATATCGTTCACATGTTCAAGAACTTGTCTCCTACAGGGGTGAATTGTTTTTCCTACATATATTAGGGGGGCATGGGCGTTTTAAAGCATAAATCTTCCCCTCTGTAGTGCAATTATAAAAATCTCTTATTTTATTTTTCTCCCCATTTTTAGGGTTAACAAACTCCTTGGTGTTGCTCAAGAATGTACATGCCTTACAGTGACCACACCTAAAACTACCTTTTGGTTTCTCAGGTAGCCAAGTGTGTTTCATTGATGTTTTAGAGGTTTTTTCTAGGTGGCTATGTACTAACATAAAAATAAAACTATATATAAGTGATATTTGATATACCGTGACTCATTTGATAAATAAAATGCTCTATCCATCAAGACTATATTTCCCTCTTTGTCAGCTGCCTTTATAACTACTTTTTTTATTACTGCGCAGATCTTCCAATACCTTCCATTCAGAATAAGTCATATTATATTACTTATTTTTCCTCTACCTTCTTAACCATAAATCATTCAAATCTCTCTCAACCAATTTTACAAACAGTTGGATGCTGCTCCCCTGAGGGAAGAGCGGGGTATAGTTATTCCTTGGTTTAAATGTGGAAAAAGGACCCCGTATTTCAGCATCCCCGCTGTTCTTTTTAAGCTTGTAATGATTCCATTACACTTAGGGCTTCCATATCTCTAGATGTCAAACCCATCGGAGTATTAGATGGTTTGGCCTCATATTATTTCTTCAGAGCCAGTTTCCTGGCAAACGAATGTATATCTTTAACCCATTCAAATGGGTTAAAGTCCTGTGTAGGTACAAAGGACAATCCTCTCCTCAATACTGTTAGATGGTCAATTGTTAATGACATCTTAGGTTGAATATTTGGAAATCACTATTCCTTAAAATAGAAAGTACTCTAAGTGAGGCACTGTTAGATAAAATTGTCTGGATTCCACAACCGTTTCGGGTGCTTTCTGAAACAATTGAGTACCGTCCGTGATACTTTTTTTATTTGCACTAACATACAATTTTGAGGACAAGCTTTTGGGGTATGTCCCCTTCTTCAAGGTCCAAGCAGTACTAATCACAAAGTTTTAGCAGAATGTTAGAAGAGATGTGGGGGATGGGAAAAAAAAGAGACTAGGGATAAAACACAGCACAAGCAAAGACTGGGGGGGGGGGGGGGGGGAACAACACTCACAGAGGGAGTCATGCTTGAGGTGATAGTCATAAAACTGTTGGATAATGATTGAGGAATCCCATGTCCAAATTAAGGCTGTTATCTGTTGTGTCAATTAGAATTATCATTCTTAGTTCAAAAGTTTTTCTTTCCTGAATGGATTTGAAATTTCCTTTAAGAACTAAAATATTGAGGTCTTCCATAATGTGGTCTGGTTGTGCGAAATGGTGTCCCACAGGTGTGCAAAAGTCATCTTCTTTATGTTCCTTGATGGTATGTCTGTGCAGATTCATCCTTGTTTGCAACTTCTGTCCTGTTTCGCCAACATAAGATCCTTTGCTACATTTTCTGCACTGGATAAGGTACACAACATTACTGGAGGTGCAGCTGTATGATCCGGAGATATTGAAGATCCCTTTTGAGTGTCTGACACTTTTTGATGGATTGATTTGGTTGCACAGTTTGCAGCGTTTTTTATTGCAGGGTGTGCTTCCATTACAGTATTTGCGACATCTTGATCAGAAGGAAGTTTCCTACTAATTAGTTTATTTCTCAGGTTTGGGGGTTGTCTGAAGGCCAGTATTGGGGGGGTTGTCTGAAGGCCAGTATTGGGGGGTTGTCTGAAGGCCAGTATTGGGGGGGTTGTCTGAAGGCCAGTATTGGGGGTTGCTGGAATATTGGTTTCAGAGTTCCATCCTCTGTTATGATGGGTTGTAAATCTTTGATTATTTTTCTTGTTCCTTCTAGTGCCGGGTTGTATGTAGTTACTAGAGGTACACGGTTGTTTGTTTTTTTTCCTCTTTGTACTGAAGCAGATTTTCTCTTCGGGTTCTCAAGGCTGTGTTTATACTGGTATACTGATAGTTTTGTCTAGTTTTGATAGTTTTGTCTTTGTAACCTTTCTTATGGAAGGAGTCTGCTAGTGTCCCGAGATGTTTATCTCTGTCTCTTGGGTCAGAACATACTCGGTGGTATCTAATGGCCTGACTGTGTATGATGGCACGTTTTGTGTGTTGGGGGTGGAAGCTGGAACTGTGGAGGTAGTTGCATCTGTCAGTGGGTTTCCTGTATATTGAGGTGTGAAGCGTATCATCCCTGATGTATACTGTGGTGTCTAGGAAGTTGACGTGTGTGTTTGAGTATTCCATTTTTAGTTTGATGGATGAAAAGTGTTGATCAATGAGTAAAATTGTTTTAGGTATTCTTCACCCTCTGTCCATATGATGAAAATATCATCGGTATAGCGATAGTATCTGTATGGTTTTTGTTCCATGCTGTTCAGGAATTTTTCCTCCAGGTCAGCCATAAATAAATTGGCATTATGGGGGGCCATTTTACTTCCCATCGCAGTACCCATACATTGAAGATAGATGTCTTTATTGAAAGTAAAGTAGTTGTGTGTAAGTATGAATTCAATGAGCTGTGTAACTAGGCGATCGTCGCAGAAGTGGGAGCGGATACCCGCCCCCCCCCCCCCCCTCCCCAAAGGTCTGCAGTATCTGGTCATCTCCTGTACTATGTCCGCAGTCTCTGGTCATCTCCTGTACCGTGTCCGCAGTCTCTGGTCATCTCCTGTACCGTGTCCGCAGTCTCTGGTCATCTCCTGTACCGTGTCCGCAGTCTCTGGTCATCTCCTGTACCGTGTCCGCAGTCTCTGGTCATCTCCTGTACCGTGTCCGCAGTCTCTGGTCATCTCCTGTACCGTGTCCGCAGTCTCTGGTCATCTCCTGTACCGTGTCCGCAGTCTCTGGTCATCTCCTGTACCGTGTCCGCAGTCTCTGGTCATCTCCTGTACCGTGTCGCAGTCTCTGGTCATCTCCTGTACCGTGTCCGCAGTCTCTGGTCATCTCCTGTACCGTGTCCGCAGTCTCTGGTCATCTCCTGTACCGTGTCCGCAGTCTCTGGTCATCTCCTGTAGTACGTCCGCAGTCTCTGGTCATCTCCTGTAGTATGTCCGCAGTCTCTGGTCATCTCCTGTAGTATGTCCGCAGTCTCTGGTCATCTCCTGTAGTATGTCCGCAGTCTCTGGTCATCTCCTGTACTGTGTCCGCAGTCTCTGGTCATCTGCTGTACTATATAAACAGTCTCTGGTCATCTCCTGTAGTATGTCTGCAGTCTCTGGCAGGGGCGGACTGACAACTCATGGGGCCCCTCCAAACTCAAAAAAGCCTATGAAAAAGGTACCAGGGGCATCTCATGGGGCCCCCTACTGGCCCCGGGCCCTCGGGCAGTGCCCGAGTTTCCAAATGGTCAGTCCGCCCCTGGTCTCTGGTCATCTCCTGTACTGTGTCCACAGTCTCTGGTCATCTCCTGTACTGTGTCCGCAGTCTCTGGTCATCTCCTGTACTGTGTCCGCAGTCTCTGGTCATCTCCTGTACTGTGTCCGCAGTCTCTGGTCATCTCCTGTACTATGTCTGCAGTCTTTGGTAATCTCCTGTACTATATCTGCAGTCTCTGGTCATCTCCTGTAGTGCATCCGCAGTCTCTGGTCATTTCCTGTACTATGTCTGCAGTCCATTCGTTCAGAATATTTTTTTTTCTTGATTTTCCTCCTCTAAAACCTAGGTGCGTCTTATGGAGAGAAAAATACGGTAGGCCTGCTCAGCTGTTGCCAGGCCGTTAGCTCCCTCTGTGGCCAGAATTCTTGAGAAGTTTCTGGAATATTGGTGTGGAGCTATAAAGATGGCAGCATGAATATTGATGCAGCCCCAGCCTATCCCAGAGAGACTGGCTTTGATGGAATGATGGGTAAGTGCATTTATTCTATGAGCACACTGGGCTCTGGGTCTTTTCTGTATAGGATTGTTCCAGCCTGGGAGAGGGCACGTTGCCTTGCTGGGCAACTACTGCCAATGTGGCCTCAGGTGGGTGACCTGAAAGCCTGTATGCTGAGACCTGGTTTCTACTAAAGCTGAGGAGATCTGGTCTGGTATCTTGGAGGAAGGGTGCCATCTGCTCTTTGGCCTTGTGAGTACAGACACCCCTAAAGGGTCCTACAGACTGTGTGCTGCTTAACCCCCTTCTGGTTCTAGGAAGTCAGATGTGGGTCTGGGCTAAAGGGGACACTGGATGATGTTCTGAAGAACTTTGTGTTAACTTCTTGCTACAAAGGACACTGATGAAGCTTGCTACTACTTATGCTACTACTACCTTAAAGTCTGAAGTGTACTGTTTGATTCAAGCACAGACTTGGTCATAGCTTATCCATGAGACTACTTAAAAGTTCTCAGCTGTACATATTTCTTATTTCTGGAGTATCCCATCTAATTCCCCATTGCTATCCAAGTTCTCCAAAAAAAAAAAAAAAAAAAACAACAAAAACAATACCCCTAGACTGATTATTGGATATACATGTGAATGAGCCTATGTGTCTGGCTGAGGGGCAAAGTAATTGGGGAAGACCTGGACAGTATTCCTGCGGCTCCTATGGAAGTAGCACTACATATAGAAATCTTGAATTCCTTAAGCTGAGCCTTTTTTATAGGAAGCAAATGGAAATAGTAGAAATCCCTAACTAGCAGCACATCCTGACAGACGTCCTCCCATAGGACAACCAACCCCAGGTGGTCCTCTGCAGGTGTATATATACCCAAACACACAGGATGTGATACATCTGCAGAGGAAGAAATCACACACAACCCAATCCCCACAATAATTAGCCAAAAATAATGAAGGTAACATTACACCAGAAATACAATGTTTTAGCATGAAAGTAACAGCAAACAATAGACACTTGCCTATAGGGCGGTGGAAGGATCTCTCATCCTGAGAGGAAATCTTGAAGATATTGGCTGCCATGAAGTGCTACCACTGGGCCAAGAGGAAGCAGACTGTGATTGTCCCCACATGGAGGTGGTGAGAGACTGGCTGAGTTGGAGAACAACATAGGATCCTTTCCATGGCTGTCTTGGCTCAAATTTACCACTAGATAGATGCCACTAGACCCTCAGCTGCCAAGGAGTCACCAAGTCTAAGAGTCCAGCCAGTATAGAGAGGGACCCAGAAGGTTAGAAAGACATTCAGAAGACCAATGTCAGGGACCATCGCGACACATGGGTCTACACAGGCGTAGGTGTCTGCCAAGACGTGTAGGTGGCGGGGCACTAGGACCCAGGCGCACCCGTCGTCTTGACAGTACTAGGCAGGCATTAGGACCTAGGCTACGCCTGTCAGGTGCATGGCGGGCTATTTAAACCAGCTCTGCACAAACACTTGTTGCCGAATGGTCTTTGTATGCTGATACCTGTGTTGTGAGTATCTTGATCTGTATTGTTTGACCTTGCTGCCTTCTCCTGTCCTGACCCTTGGCCTGCCTGACTCTGCTCCTGGATGTTCCCCTTTAAATCTGATCTTTTGGTATTGACCCTGCGTGTGACCCAACTATCCTTTGCCTACCGTTTTGTACCTCACCGACCCACTAGTTACCGACCCGGCCTGTATGACTCTGATTTAGCTCATCCATCCATCCCGCAGGGATCACTAGGCTCCCTCACATCAGACTCTTAGCCCCCTGGAGCTCCTGTCAGACTCCTCTACCCCCTGTTGGAGATACCTAGCAGCTGCGACCTGGTACCGGAGCGCTCCAAGTCCATCCCCACCATCAGGGGCCCTGGTGAACAAGTGCTCCGGTGCTTAGACTCCGCACTCTGGGGAGGCTCTGCCAGGGGATTGATAGAGGTGCTGTCAGGCGGTCCCTTACAACCAACGACTGTGTTATGAATAGAACCTACAGGAATCCGGTGCTTCCTTCACCCTCCTTCCTATTTATCCATGCGAATGTGCAATACATTCTATTAAAATCTAAAGATAAATGACTGGTGCCCAGAAACAAGAACTAACAGAGGTAGCAGAGCAACTGGCTCGGTTAAATATTTATAAAACAATGGGCCCTGATGGTATTCATCCCAGAGTTCTAAGATAACTTTGAGGTATAGTTGTTGGACCATTAACTGATCTTTTTAATCAATCTCTTCTAACAGGAGAGGTTCCCCATGACTGGCGGACAGCTAATATTGTACCTATCCATAAGAAGAGCAGCAAGGTAGAAGCTGGCAATTACAGGCCAGTGAGTTTAACATCGGTTGTAGTCAAGTTAATGGAATCACTCCTGAAAAGAAGGATCATTATTCACTTAAAAACAATCAACTTGCTGGATCCAAAGCAGCATGGCTTTACTAAGAGCAGATAATATCAGACTAATCTGATTGGATTTTTTGACTATATAACCAATGTTTTGGACCAGGGTGGTGCTGTGGACATGGCATATCTTGATTTCAGCAAAGCATTTGATACAGTTCCACATAATGATCTAATACAAAAGTTGTACAAACTAGGACTTAGCCCTTAGGTGACTCATTGGATATGCAACTGGCTAAAGGATATATACCAGAGTGTGGTTGTATATGGGGTTCAACCGGAACAGAGACCAGTCACTAATGATATACCCCAAGGCTCTGTACTAGGTCCTGTTCTATTTAATCTATATGTAAGTGATATAACTAAAGGTTTGTTGGGTAAGGGATGTATTTTTGTTGATGATACAAAGGCTTGCATTAGGGTGATATCCCTGGAGGTGTCTGTAACATGGAACATTTGGCATTGCTGGAAGATTGGTCAAAGCAGTGGAAATTGCAGTTCAATGTTTCTAAATGTAAAATAATACATCCAAGGAAAAATAATCCCTAGAGAGAGTACAACATTGGGGGTACATTTTTAGCCTGCACTTCAGAGGAAAAGGAATTGGGGGGGGGTACCTATATCAGATGATTGCAAAGTGAGCAAACAGTGTGACCAGGCGGGGGGGGGGGGGGGGAGCAAACAGAATTCTAGGATGCATCACTAGAGGGGTCACCAGCAGGAGGGAGGAGAACCCAGTTCTTCTATATAGATCTTTAGTTAGACCTCATTTAGAGTACTGTGTCCAGTTCTGGAGATCTCACTTACAAAAAGATATTGATAAGATAGAATAGAGTCCAGAAACGGGTAACAAAAATGCTGGAAGGTCTGGGGGATAAAACATATCAGGAGACTCAGGAGAGACTTCAGGAATTTAACAAGTACAGTCTGGAGGAAAGAAGGGAAAGGGGAGACATGAATGAAACCTTTAAATACATCAAGGGGGTGAATAAGGCTCAGGAGGGCAGGATTTTGAACATGAAACTAAAATCAAGAACATGGGGACATGACCTTAAACTAACTGGAGGACAGTTGAAAACTAATCTCAGAAAGTATTATTTTACTGAAAGAGTAGTTGATGCTCGGAAGAAACTTCCAGCAGAGGTAGTGAGCCAGTCAACAGTAAACAGCTTCAAACATGCTTGGGGCAAGCATATATCTATACCCAGACAAAATAGTTAAGAAAAGAAAAACACAAAAAAAAACAACCCCCCCCCCCCCTCAAAAAATAAAAAACAGGCAGACTTGATGGACCACTCGGTCTTTTTCTGCTGTCACTTTTCTATGTTTCTATGTACCCTCAGAGCAATGTGCCTGGGACATTTATAAGTGGGTTTGGGACATTTGTAATGTAGCTATGAGGAGGCTGAAGGGCAGTATTTTTTCAATATATGTCTGCCTGGTTACCAATAGTCTAACTTGTTGAAAAGAAATATTTTTCAAAATAAAAAGATAACTTTACAGTAAACCAGAGGACAAGACTCACATTTTTCTGCACAAGGTGGGGCTGAACTAGTCTTGCAACTCATATCTGTAGGAAGTATGTGAAAAAAATGAAAGGTCTAAAAACTGAAGTGACATTTATATGAGTTTTCTGACAGTTAGATTTGTTGGTATCTTTTGTGAACTCCAGACACCCCCAACACCAAGCAAATAAATGCAGCTCCCATAGACATTTACATGTCTGGGACATTGGTGCCGTAGCTATGGGATAGCTGAAGAGTAATATCCCCTAAATTATGTCTGCCTGGTTAATATGTTAGATGTGTAAAAGAAATATTTCTCAAAGTGTAAGGACACCCCCTCGCACTGTATGGGTTTAATGTGCTCTTGTCTTGAGGAGAAGGAACATATATGTAGCACTACCCCCTTAGGGGCTACTGAGTTTTGGGTTCCCCTAAGCTTTGCATGGCCGAGCAACACACATTTTCTTCACATTTCCACACATACAGAGTCCGTGTCAGGGCTCCAGGGTATGACCAGAGGTATGTGAACTGACGCAGGGAAACGCAGGCTTCAGATATGTTATAATAATAATATTTATTATCAGCTGCACAAATAAACAAACACAATGCAAACAAGCTAACCTTAAGCTAATAGGTACACAGAGCAAACAAACAAACCAATAGGTACACAGTGCAGTCAGGGCTGGAGAGGTGGAATGGTCAGGCAGGCCAAGCCCACAGCACGGATTTCCTCAGGGC